CGTGCGTTGCAGCTCCCACAGACACTAGAGCCAGAGTTCCCTCTAGTGTATATGTCGAGGAAACTCGATAGCCTGCACGTTCAGCGTCTGCTTGAACAGTTATTTCCGCGCCACACGAACGCGCGCACGTCTTCAAGAGAGTGTCTAGAGGCAGCACGGAGAGATAAGCAGACGTGAGAGAGAGGTAAAAAGGACACAACAAGACGTTATCACACCGACAGTGGATAGATATAGTTAACGGAAAAAAAAAAAACGGTTACACGCAGCGCGCGCGTGGCAACAGCCACGGACAAACCGTTATCGAGTCGAGAAGCTTCGCTCGAGCCGACGTGGGCGTCTCGAGTGAGATAAGGTGGCACGCAAGTTGACAAGCCTTATCGCCGGTGACCTTTGGAGCGCACGCAATTTGAACGTGCGATACGGAAACGCGCCGCCCGCTATCACTGTTCGTCAGACAGCACTACAACAAAGGAAAATGGCTGCTGAAGTCAGGGTAGAATGAAATCAGGTTGCTGGCTGAGTGATAAAAGTTCAACTAGCAATAGTCGCCCCTCAGTTTACACTTCATCGGGTACGACACCGCCTCTGCGCAAAGCTTGGCTGAGTGATAATGCGAGAAGGTACGCAACAATAAAGTTATGGTTTGACGTTCCTAAAACTACGATATGATAACGAGGAACACGGCAGCGAAGGGATCCCAAAATTTCGACCACCTGGCGTCTTATAACGTGCAACTAAATCGTAGTACGCGGGCCCCGAGGAGTTCGCATGCATCGAAACGCGGCTGCGATTCGATCCCGCGACCTTCAGAGGTCGGCAGTCAGGCAACGTTGGCGGGTGAGGAGGTGCGCATATTAGCCGGCATTGTCCAACAGCGTCCGCTCAGCAATAGCCATCATTGGCAAGTGGTGACCCAACGAATACGTCAGTCCGATAATGTACGTATAAGCGCCATCGCTACACACAGGCTCGAAACGGCGAGTCCAAACGACGAGCAACGGGGCCCAGCCGCCGTGGCACGGAAAGCAGTAGAGGACGGTGATACACAAAGGGAACCCGAGAACAAAAGGCCATCAGTCTGTCGCTCGGACTATACATCGAGCCCCAAACACAGGGGCCGGCTGGCTACCTGCGTTGCGGGCGATGCGATGGCCAACAAACGCAACGTTAAAAACGTGCCCTTCCAGAAGCGGCGGCTGTGACCTTACACACGCCGCAAGAAATGACACGTAAGCCGCTGCGAGTCTTCTGCGTTCGTTGTCCCCCCCATCGAACGACCAACGCGCGCGCGGAGGGATGTAGAAAACAAAAGAGGTCGTCACGTTTGACGATAACGGCAAATTGCAGCCCCCTCCACCTAGCCCGATAAAGGAAAAAAAAAAAAAACGGAACGGCAGCAATGTGCGATAACACTTTTGCAGCAGCGCGGTTCGTGCGCAAAATCCACCGCATTATCTATCACGCAGGTGCGTACGCCTCACTTAATTCGCTATCTCCGTCGTCTTGCAGCGCTGGGTAAGCAAAACGGACACACAAAGAGACGAGATAAACACGCCGTAAGGACGTCAACGATAAAGGCCACGGGCCCGACGGCTTAATCTCGGAGATAAGCGAGATAAAACGCAGCGCACTTGCAGCACGACAGAACTAGTGCCGAAAGAGCAGCGTCGCCTAAAGATAGCGGACAGGAAAGAGAAGATTCTTATATCGCAAAGGTGACCGAAGTAAGCAAGCTGCCTAAGCACGGACGGATGACGTGGCGTCGACTACATCCGAAATCGCAGAAACGCGTGACAATATCCCAGAAGTGACAAGGCTGTGCGACAGCCTCGTAATGAACGCCTTCAGCATCAATACGAACTCAAATCCACGACAGCGTGCGGTGGCAACAGCGGGTCGTTTAAAACGAAGAGCGAGGCCGTAGCCTCGCGAGAGGACCTCCACCGTGAAAACGTTAGGGAACACTCGACCGAAGAGGAGCGGGCATCGATGCACTCTAGACCGAACCTATCGCACACGCGCAGCAACCGCCAAGATAAAAACTGAAAAAGAAAACAGCAATCCAGACGCATGGCCGACACCCGAAAGGGCACTCAATCATATTCCACAAAGTCTCCGGGCTGCAACAACACGATTCGAGCGGTAATTTTTCACATGCTCTAGCTTGCACAGGGGCTCAGAAGGAAGAGATTTCCCGACGCGGCAATCGGCGAGAGGGTAATAAATGTTGAAAGCAAAGAAGAAAAAAATGCGCTACAAGTAAACACACGGCAGCTAGCCCGATGTCAAGCGGCAACCAGACGCGAACATTTCGTAAGGCTTAACATGACATCCGTTATAAAAAAAAGCAAAGCGAGATCTCGCCAAAGCCGATCGAGGAACTCTCTGCGCTACAAAGATAGCAGGAATCGATAAAGAAGCTGCAGCGGACGAGAGAGTAATTTGACTGTAGCAGCGCCGTTTAGGTTGCCAACAGTGCTCGATAATCGCGAGGCTCCGATAACCGGCACATACAAACGCGAGATGACGCGGTGGTCCAGGCTGGGGTGAAAGGACAAACCTAATCATCGTCAATCCTCCCGAAACACTTTACAACGGTCGCACCCACGACTTAAAGAGAGAAAGCTTGCACCTTACAGAAGGCGCAAGCGTCAATCTTGAAGCACCATCCTTGAACTTTTAAAAAGAGTACAGCGGACGCGGAATTCAAGAAAGAAAAAAAAAAATCTCTGACGACAACCGTCGTGACGTTTCGACTAATTGAAAATAAATAAACATTGCGAAGCGCAACTTCCCAGCTAGACAAGCGCGCTATTATTCTCTTCGCGACCACCAATACGGAGCCCTGCGTCACCGCTGCCCTCAAGGTTACGCCGTGGTCGGATGGAATGACGCGACGACGGGACAGGGAGAGAGAGAGTGGCGAGGCCTTGCATGCTGGGCGTCCACGCTTTCTTCCTTCAAGCAAATGGCGCGCACGAAGCAGCATCAAGCGTTATGATTATTAACAGTACTTCCCACACGGGGCCAAGTTGCGTGGCAGGTAAGGCAACCCACCTCCGCGAGAGAGAGGAGGACGGGAGAAGGCCAACGCCATAAACGTAACAAAATAAAATGGCTAAACCGGACGAACGGCACGCAGACACGATCGAGGGAGCAAGGAAGGCAAAATAAAAAAAGATACAGGCGCAGCACAGAGAAAGAACAAAAAGAAAGAAAAAAAAAGGTGAAAGGAGGCACGTACGACGACAGCAGCAGAGCGGGGTGCCAGGCGGGGGCTTGCGAAAGCGTCCCGCACGAACGAATCAAAGAACATACAAAAAGAAAGATACCGCCGCGAGCCCCCGCAGAGCACCTGCTCAGTAAGAAAAATCGATAGTCCGGAATTCCCCCTTCCCCCACCCTTATAGAGGAAAGAGGGGGCTCTTTTTTGTACGCTCGCATTATACTGCCCTCGAGCGCCGCGCACGGACTGACACAGCGTTTTTCTTCTTTTGTTTCTTTTCTCCCTCCCTTCCTGCGCACCACAGATCTTTCTGTTTGTCTTTCCACGTCTTTCGGGTCCGGCCCGTAAACTTGCCTTTTTTTTTCCTCTTCGCGATGAACACCGCGTTCCGTTTCGCCACTTTCTAGCCTCCTTCCCCCGCACTCTTAACCCGGACCTTACACGCTATACTACGACAAACGAACTAGACAGAGAGGAGACTGCCGGTAGTCGTGATAGTCGCGGTATGATCGCGTAACTACGGGTTTGCGGGACCCGTCCCGCTTCCAATACGCCAAGTGACGGCCAGACAAGCGAGCGGCGAGGCAGAAGTAAGAGATGATGAGGCACGAGAGAGTCCCAGCCGCAACAACGCTTAATAGAAAGAACAACGGCAAAGGGCGAGCCACGCCGCCAAGACACGAGCAGTCTCCCCGACGTCGAAGGTCTTTTCCGGACGGGCTCGAGCAAACGCGGCACAGCGAGGGGGAAGCGCAGCGGCAAAGCACTACTAAAGAAGAAACGACACCAACCACGCTGGATGCTGCACGGCGGAGCGAGCAATGCCTCCTTGGACCCCAGCCTGCTTTCCATCCCCCCTCCTCCGTGAGAAAGAAGCGGCGTCGAGACGACGTTTAGAGGTTCACCCCTCGGGCGAAGGAGTTAGGAGAGCAGGTCCTCCGCTCGCTTGGCAAGGCACGGCCGGTACAGCCCCCCCCCCCCCCCTTCTCAAGCCAGCCACGGCCAGTGTTCGGGCGACCCAATTTCGGCCCGTGCAAGCAGCAGCCGAGTACTATACGTATATATACTACGGCTCTAGCGGCGAGCGGCCCGTAACGGTGAAAGATGGCGGTCGGCCCCGCGAGCGGTGCTGGCAACAAGAAAGAAGCAGCGACGGCCCGGGAAGTAGGTGAATCGGCAGCGGAAAAGAGAAGTAAAAAAAAGAAGAGACAACCTCGCCGCGCTGGCGGACGGGGCCTTGCCAGCACTGGACGATGAGCAAACCTGACGAACACAATCAACCGCCACGATGGGTAGAAATCAACTTGCTCTCAATCAAAGCGCGGTTCCAGCTACGGGACGGAACAGCGTTGGCATCTTGAGAGGGGGGTAAAGAGAGGTGGGATAGGGGTCGAATAAGATGGCCTACCTTGTGATGACGACGTGTTGCGCCAAAAAGGCCGTGTACTTACAGAACTCGCGAAAAATAGCGAGACGAGAGGTAGGTGACGTCGTTATCCTTCAAAATGTGGGGAGGCCTCACCAGCAACCTCCTCCGCTGGAGCGCGAAACCCCGGAGAACTTAACGAGCTCTCGTAATAAAACAACGACGCTCGTCGGTCGGCCCAGGGCACAAGCAGCAGCCTCGGTACACATCATTTTCTCCCCACAAGAGTAGCTGCGGCGTATCCAACATCGGGGCGCGCGACGACAGAAGACGTGAACGACACTACGTCAGCGGCTGGCACCACGGCGGCAGTGATGACGATCATGAAGTGTTGGGTAGGATGCTTACAGGGCAAGGTGCTGGTGATGATGGTGGGGCGCCGGCTGCGATGCGTACAAGTGTCCCGCCGGCAGTGTCTTCACTTTGCTCATGATGGCCGAGAGCGGGCGGCGTGCGTAGACTCCGGCGACATGGCGTCGCGGCTGCTCTCCCGAACGAACCACGACTGTGCAGCGGGCACAGCTCCGAGCGCGCTTCGCTCTCGGGGAGCGCGAGTAGGAGATGGAAGGGGGGGATAAAAACAAAAAAGTATACGCAACAAGAAGAAGGCCGCCGAGAGCGGGCGGGCGACAGCCAGCGCAACGCGCGTTCTCCTCTCCTCCGGCGGCGAGTCAACGAACGCGAGCAACGGAGGACCGGTCCACATCGAGGCCTCGAGGGGGAGGCCGGCGGCTCAGCGCACACGCTCGACGCCGCGGCAGCTCCAAGGATGCGTCCCCCTCCCTCCCCCCGCTCTCGTCTCTTTGTTCCGCTAAGGTCAGGGACTCGGGCCCGCGCGCCGCTTCTCACTTTGCGCTGTCACCACGACGCGGCTGGCACCTTCGGCACCCCCCCCCCACCCCGCTCTCGTGCCACTTCCTAGCAGAAGTGTTAGTAAGGCGCCAGAAGGAACAGGAGACGGCAGCGACTGCAGTACATAACACTGCTTTCAGTTCCCCCTCTCACCTGCCTGCGACGCGTGCGGCCGAAAGCAGAGAGAGAAGAGCCGACAATCGCTGCGTAGAGCCCCTCCACTCGCTCTTCCATCTCACGGTTTTCGAGGAAGGAACAGGTAAAGAAGGAAGTGAAAAGTGAGGTGCCAGCTGAGCCGGAAAGGAAGAAAGAAAACTAAAAAGCAAAGCCTTTCACGCATCGCAACCTCAGTGGCTGTGCTGGCTAGATGCGGTGCTTTCGCCCCACCACTCCCTGGCTACCTTTACCATTTGTTCTCTTTGTAGTCCCACTTCGCAGAACTAAAAGGGAGTTCCCACATCATCACTAACCTAGTGAAGCTTGTCTTCTTTTTGGTAGCATTCAAGTGTGCGTTGCTGAATTCTCCACGCACGTTCCTTACGCTTACAATCCCCACCGTGCAACTTGACCTCCACGGACGACCTCTGACGTAATCGCGGCAAGACCCCCCCCAACGACCTTCCTTTACAACCTCACCCCGCGAGTTCCTTCATCGACCTGCAAAATAAATAAAAAAATACGACAAAAAGAGAGAGGAACGCCCCGGACTGAAAGCGATCCGACGGAAGGAACAAGGTAGGGTCTTGCACCCACCGCAAGCAGCGCGCACACACAGGCAACGGAATGGAAGAAAAGAGAGCGGAAGCGGGCAACAACAACAAGTACGCGGCGCAACCGACGTCGTCCCAAAAAAAAGTGGGGACGGGGTCACGCAGGGTTCATTCACGTCATCCTCCTCGCCAGCCGCCGGTGCATGCATCGCATTCGTTCGCTTCACGTCAGCCGACCGCAAAAACAAACATCACAGACAACGCACACACGGAGAACGTCGTAGCTCTCGGCCGTGCGAAACAAAAGAGCGACGCGGCGAATCCGTCCGGACCCATCGTGCTCTTTCCTCTCTCTCCCTCACCCCCCTAGTAGGCAGACGACGGCAGGACGGGCGTTACGTTAGCTAGCCTTGCTCCCCATTGCCCCTTTCCGCGAAACGCGCAGACCTGAAAGCGAGATGCGACACAAAACAAAACACGTTCTTGAGACACCGGTACATGGTCTAATAGGTTTACGTGGTATGACCGGCAAGACGCCACCACGTAGCGCCGGTTCATCTGCTCTATTATAGTACCAAAATTTTCCCCGCAATAGTCACTCGCACGTTACAGTCCGCTTGAACAGTAAGCACTATTTCTCGTGTAATGTAAACACCACGCGTCGAAGGTTCATCATTGCGACGTTGGGTTGGCTGAAAAAGCTGCGGTGCAAGATGCCTGAAACGAGTTCGACGGAAACCCGCCTGGTCAGGTTAAAACGTGATGAAGGGAAGGAAGTACACCGCATGGAAGCCGGAACGTCGCATTTCTTGTTAATGTTTGTTTGGTCGGTGCACACTCTTGCCCTCATGTCTGAAACCCGGTATAGGCCTGAAGCCAGTCACCCAAACGTGTGCCTGCATGACACGGCGAATATCTAAAACACTTGAGGGAAACGCTTGACGACACAGAAATAGGTAAGCGCCATCGAACAAAGCATTTACGCAAATGCAGCATACGCTAAGAAAGAGAAGGTCGGCGGCTGCATCGGGGTCAGCAAACTGTGGCAATTGATCAAAGCGCAGGAACCCCGTTGGAAACCGGACATGCACCCACCTCCACGCACACTTTTCAAAGATTGCCGCGGCGGATACTGTGGAGATTGTCGAAATCGAAACTGCGGACGATAGTTATAGCGCGAGAACAAAACGACGACACAGAGACAAGAATTATCGCTATAACTATCGTCATGCCATACCAACTAGCCCAAGCTGCCACACTTCTAAGAAACTGCGGGTCAGTGGGCCCCAAAGTTGCCAGCGGAAAATGTCGGGGCCCAGGTATGCTTCGTGACGATAATTCGCAAATGTCGCCGCCAGTGAGCGACCGTCGAAAAACACGGCGCGCGTGACGTCACCGCCGCTGGGCGCGCTACTCTTCCTGAAGAAGGCCCGGCAGACAGATAGCGGACGGCACATTAAAACGCATATTTCACAAAGGCACGCCGGGCACGCGAGAAAGAACGCCAGGCGCACGACGAAACAAATAATCACGCATACATTTCGAAAGGAGGAAGAGTAGGAAGCACGGATGGCATCACAAACGACGGGAGTGGAGCTGCGCGCGCCTCCTCGCCCGCCAAAGCGGCGAACATCCCATCTGGAAGGAGGAGCAGCAGCAGCTTTCACTTCTTTCGAAACCACCAGCACTGCGAGCACGCCGAAAAACGGCACACACACGCGCGTACACAAAAGGCCGGTCACCAGGTGCCCAAGAAAGAGCCCCCTACCTACACCGGGCGAGCGAGCGAAAGAAAGGATTACGGGGGTCGCGTCCATTATGTAGGAGGAGAACGGCTCCTATTTTTATAGAGAAAAAAATATACAGATACACGCCGGCGGCTTCAAGAGCGGCGGCATTCGCTGGTGCAGTCACCCCTTTCCCGGCCGTCCCATTTAGAGCAAAAACAGGCGCCCTCGCTCGAATTCTCTCTCGTCTCTGTACGGCAAGAAAAGGCTTCGCGCTGTGGTGGTTCCAGAATAGCGTACAGCGGCGGAGCACATGTGCTCCGTCGGCCGTGTCGAGAGAGAGGACCGCCGAAAAAGAAACTCGACCAGTATTATATGGAGTGCGATGAAAAGAAGAAATAAACGATAGCAGAGAAGGTGGGCGACACTTTCACCAGGCCGCCGACGCCAAACGGACGCGAAAAAAAGAAAAAAAAAGTGAGGTCATCCGAGCCAGTGGCGAAAGCGAGAGCAGCCAGCGCGCATCGAGGAAGGTAGGAGAAGCAAGCATTGGAAAAAGGACACGCCGCCCCATCGTCGTAACCCAGTTCGGTTTGCGTGATTTTTTTTTTTTCTGGCGTTGGCGGGGATCGTCGAGGAAGTTTTCCGTTATGTAGGTATGGGGGGACCGAGAAACAGCAAAACATAGGCAAAAATACAGGACAATCGTCTAAAGTGGACGCTGCCCGGATTTTTAAGTAAGCGGTCGCCGTTTTTCTTTTTTTTTTTTCACGGCTACGCCTTACTTCTGTAACACTCGGTAGCGCTTGAACTTGATCCAGTTAAATACGAAGCAGCCAGTATACTATACACCTACGTCAAGCGCACAGTACGACTGGTGCAACAAAAATGGCGGTTTCTGAAGGCGACAAGCAACCCTGCTGACTGGAAAACTAAGGCGACGTGGTGCAAAGATCATTCTACCGGAGCGAGGCAGCGTCTCGTGTGTCTTTTGCACGGCGGTACGGAGCCTGCCACAGCAACACATTTGGGGGGGGGGGGGGGATCACGCATATTGATAAAACATGTCCAGAGGAAGGAGACTACGGCGGCGGCACTAAAGAGGACTTCGTAGGAAGGAACGCTGTTTAACCTAATCCTTGTCTTCGGCGCCAGCGACTACAGGTTGAGATAGCCCACGTTGCCTGGGCACGTCCGTTTTGTGTGTAGTGACCGAGTTACCGCGCCGAAGGGCAATCCCTTTTGTTGTTTGGTCTCTCTGGCTTGTACGCCGAAAGGCAGGCTGCGTCTGTTTCGCGCAGAGCGGAGGCCCCCCCTTACCAGGGTATGCTGGTGGTCGTAGTGGTTAGAAGAGGAAGAAGGCACCTAATTTCTGCAGCCCGGTAGGGAGCCCGGCGCAGTGCCTGAGGGTATGGCCGTCTACCTATAGTGGGTACTCTAGCCACTACAGTCTGCCCCCCAAAAAAGCTTCCCTCTCACCAGACCATAAGGGGCGGGGGGGGGGGAAGAGCTGGGACAGACGTACGGATGATGATGGGTTACCTGAGACTGTGGGACAATGCGCCTCCGGCACAGGTCCATTCAATTCATCCCGCACTTCCTGAACTGGTTCATGGTGGTGCCGTCATCATGCAGATGTTTCAGCAAGTGCAGTATCAACGAGACACGGAAACGAATACGAGAGCGCAGACGGCGTGCATGCCCTTTGCTACTATAGTGAGTTACAACCCAAGGATAAAAACACACTCCGCTCCCCGTACTGCAGCACTCCTGTGATTCATCTGTGCATCAGAGCAACGATTGGCGAGTTCAATTCTATCTAACCATAAGCACATTTTCAGTGGTAATACAATTAATACACATATTACAAATAAAAGACCGTCATCCATAGTCGAAACGTTTTGCAGAGCAGTGAAGCCAGAATTTTCGATGAAATTTGCCAAGAAGAACGTCGACGGATAAGATATTCCGACCGAAGACTAGCGAAGTGAACACGAGCCTGTTCGGCGAAACGATACGGCTGAATTCCATAAAGCCACCTGATGTGGCTTTTTATGTGATTCTTGAGAGATAAAAGATAAAGGTGAGCCCCGTGACTGTCTGCATCACAGTGCGACACCTCAACAATAGCTCACGAGGTATTGGGGTAAGGACGGATTAAAAGGTATAGAGATTGAGAGAGGGGGAAGGAGAGAGCGTGGCGCAGAGGCAGCGACATCCGGAAGTAAGGAGAAGATAGGAAAGATGGACACGGTCGCAGGAGTCCGAGGAAGGGGGCACCACTCGGCGAGAGCTCTTGTCGGCGTCAGGAGATG